CACACACACATCTACTTGCTTATCACACGCACACGCTTACAGGACAGCTAACTATATGTATCTATTATACCAACAGGCAAGTAAGTTAAACTTTTTCGTACTGAGGCGTTTCCATATACGTTAGTACATGCGAGACAACATCTTCATTCAAGACTTAAACAAAGCTATCACATTAATTTGCTGTTTGCTTAAGCTTAGTTTTAGTAGAGGTTTCACGGCGCTCGCAACTGCATACGGTCATATGAGCGCCAAAAGATTAGAGGTGTTACAAGAGAGTAACTAACATAAAAAAGAAGGTGAAGAGATAAGGACGATAGATGTTTGATATCAAAGAAGAAGCAAACCACACCAGAGCTGCCGCCAACCACCCATAGTTTGCCTAAGCGACAGCGCAAGTTGCAATTTTATTTTTCAAAACATCCTCTAATTCGGAGCCTGAACACCCGTCGAAAAATTTTGTTTTCAGTTTTATTAAGACTTAACGGCATTTGTAGCACAATGAGGACATACAAGCGCCGAAAATTAGAGGTGTTACATGGGACCCACAACAATTGTTTTTAAAGGAAGAGAGGTAAGGACGATAGCTGTTTGACATGAAAGAAAGAGCAAACCACGCCAGAGCACCTGTCAACAAACTACTGTCGAAAAACAAATGGCAGTTCAAACCAATGTGGGTGGGAGACCACACTTGAATAGAGACGTCTACACAAAAAAAAATAAGGGAGTGAATTGAGAACAGTGTTTAGCGAGCTGAGTCTATATATATTTTTTTTTTTAGGTCAAGCACAATGTATGATGTATGGGTGGCGACAAAGATGTCAATTAAAGGAACAATCGACTTGTATTGGGAACATTGTAACTATGTTGACTCACACACGCTGATCACAGGGCCGTCAACAGCAGGCCGCACTGGAAGTGAAAAGAGATTGCATAACTACTTACTTAAAATGAAAAGTTTTCGGGGAGTCAATAAGACGCGCGCTGGCCAGTGCTACGAGAGGTCTTTAGTTGTTGTTTTTTAGTTTTAGTAAGAGTTTTACAGCACTTGCAACACAAATAATAGATGAGTAGAGAAGATTAGATTAGAGGTGTTACTTGGTCGTGACTGTAACATACAAATAAAAGGAGGCGCTAAATGAGAGAAAAATAAGAGGATAAAGATATATTTTAACCTTTCTTTTGATTGCCAGTATACACGTATTAGCTAAAATAATATATATACCTAACGGCGATAGAAACTTTCCACTTGTTTTTTTGTAACTGCGCCCTAGTTCATATCACTCACCATGTACTCAATTATGACTCTGCGTTGATCTTTTTCCTGAACAAAAATTTAACCACGTGGTCGCGTGACCCACATACACATTAATATGGTTTGTAACTTAAGTTCCACCGAAATTATGAAATCGTCTAAATTGTGTTCAGTGATATTAGAACCGAAAAACAAAGCTACATAGACATTCCAGCTGGCTTTTGTCGACTTAAATTGCTTTACAAAATGCCAAGGTAAAGCCCCGAGAAGCGCTGTTGGACAATTTGAACACTCCAAGCTGTACTATTGACCCGTAGAATGACGCGAAAGATTCATTGCCTCCACTCTACCATTGAATCCTGAAAGATTGGTTCCAAGTCACAGGAGTTACACCTGACAGACCCAGACCAGACAGACGACAGGTCGATACTGCACAAGAAGACAGACAAACACTCCTCAGGTATCTTTGGGATCGCTTTCTCACAACGACCAGCTGTGCACGTTAATTTCATACAAACACTGAAAGAGTTATCAGCGATAGAAGGATACAACGGCGTTATAACACATTCGGACATCGAGCAAAGCGGTCCTGTAATGACCAACGTTTGCCATTTCCCCCAAAATTACGCTTGAACAGACTGGGCTTAAAAAGTAGCTCCTAAAACGACAGCAATATAGTGCAACGACTTGGATAAGCTTTGATTCAAGAGTGGAATGGAATGCCACAACAATTAATTAAAATAAGAAACGAAAAGACTGACTCGATCAATGCGCAGAACATGCCAAAACTTGCACCATTGCAAAGGGCTACAAAGCCCTTTACTGACGTGACATTTTGAAATCAAGGGGTACAAGTTTGTGCTTAACGCTGTGCCACAATATAAAATTTGATCAAGAAGCAAAAGGTAAAACACTTCTTGACGTACTTTGAAATATGTGCGTGTCAATTTGTGTTTCTATATGTTGAATAATAACCACAATACAGGCTTCTTTCCAGGTGGACAGTTTCTATTGCCACTGAGTATATTATATGAATAAGGTTGGTGCCCCCCCCTCCCTAAAAAAACAACAACAAAAAACAAAAACAACAACAAACAGAAACAGCAACACAATCCAGCGCGTCCTCAAGCGTTGTGAGTCCTCAAGGCGTTAAATAATCTGCGTTAACTATGTGAGGATACACACTCTGGTTATTTGACGACTTTTAGTGCAAAAAGGGTATAGGGTTGACGCCCCTATCAACACTATTAAGTCATGTAAGAGGCGGGACCTCCGAATTCTACCTCCATCTCAGATAGGATTGAACCAAATGGACTGAGGAGAGCCTTGAAAAACTCCACAAAACGACCTGAGTTCAAGAATGCCCAGTCTGAGATTCAAACCAGGGTTAACTGTTCCGTAGTCCAGCATGGTACCAAAATAACTAACCTGTCCCCCTAGAATTATGCGATTGTGCGGCCCCGGCGAGGCTGCGTTTTTTCGCCTAATTCTGCAACATTTGCATAATTTTGGATTCCCCGCGTTTTTTCACGTTTTTTTCCACAAAACAATTAATTAACGCCTCGCCATGTTACTAAAGGGAAATAATCATAGTAATAAGTCGTCTCATTAAAGTGAAAAGTTGGTTATTTCCCTTGATAGAAGATCTTGGTTATGGGTTGGGATTTTGTTCCTTCAGCATGTTCATCCATCAAAAGTTGTTGTTTTCATATCTGCTGATGTTTCATGTTTGACAGGTGTCCCTGGTTTAAGTAATGTGCCAGCATCAGAGGCTCAGATGTCCTTTATTTTTTTTTTTCTCATTTTTTTCCCCCCTATAGATCAAGATCTAGATCTACAGCTGAAAGTTACAGAGATTATATTTCTTGGTTGTTGTTTTGTTTTTTTACTGATGTCTATTGTTTTCTTTCCAAATACACAACAAATTACTGATACTGATATGTTCTGTTTCAAATTTTTCTGAAAATAAAACATGAAAATCATGAAAATTCGTGTTGAAAAAGTGTAAAACATGTCGCGAATGGTGTTACGGTAACTTGCATAATTTTTGCATAATTTGGCATTTTTTGTGGGCATAACTTGGCCATCTAAATTTGCATAATTCTACGGGGACAGACTCACGTATCGCCCTTGATAATCTTTCAAAAAGCGGTCTTTTGGGTTACTTAAATAACTTCGTTATTCAAATAATTTGTTTTAGAATTCATGTTTTTTTAACATTTATGTGAAACATAAAAGAGATAGAAGGCAGCACACATTCTACAAAATGCACTAGATTTGTGTTTCTGAGATGTGTAAGAATGTTCGAATGTGCCACACCAAGGCTTTTGGTCTGCCGTCGGACGTATTGCTCCCTTAGAATTACAGAGTTCTGTCCGACATTTTTGGCCGTTTTGAATTACTAAGACCATGGGTTGAGAAACCAAATGTTCTATCTGCTCTACAATGTATCAAACTCGTAAGATTATTCGGAGTCTTTATCAAGATAGTCAAATAATTACATCCGAAAAGTCTGGAAATGTTGTGAAACTCAAAATTTTACACATCTAATTTATCAAAACTGGGCCTGGGGCAGATAGAACTTTGCAATTCTACGGTACCGATATATTATATCCACTACATAGGCCCGGATTAAGGCAACTCGAGGCCATGTGCTACTGATCGGCTGGAGCCCCCTACCCCCACCCCCGCCCCGCCCCCTTTTTTAGTCATCCCCCCCCCCCAAAAAAAAAACAACAACCCCCCAACAACCTTATCCTGCCAAAAATAAATAAATAAAAAAGAAACATGTTCGCTTGTTATGGTTGTTGTTGTTGCTATTGTTGCTGTTGTTGTTGCAGCTGCCTACGCCTCCGCTGCCGCTGATAGTTACGCAAAATACGTCATAAATGAACAAGTCTTACCCTATAATATTAAACTACGCAGGCTTTTTTCTAGCTATTTTACTGCGAAGGCCTCAGTGGTGTAATTGAAATCCAGTTTCCTGAGTTTGTCTGACTCAATGCTCAAGATGCTGAGATCTGATAACCTCCCCTGGGCCATTGTAGATCTTGCTTTATTCTTTATTCTTTTCAGTCTTGAAAACGATATCTCGCCATTACAGTTTGTCACCATCAGGATAAGAAATACATGTAGTCTGAGGGTGATCTCGACGTTGGGGAAAGCTGCTTGAATGTTGCCTTTTGTGAGCACGTTTTAAACATGTCTTGGTAGCCATGTTTTTCTTTTTCAGGATGTATTGTTTCAGAGATATCGCTGAAAGAGCACAAGCTCTTACGCAAAGTAAGGGTCCACATCATTCGGGTATTGTGTACTCAGTTTTTCAACATTGTATGAATTTTCATTCTGCTTTGATCTAATTTTTGCAAGAATGAAAATTGCCTTGAAACTTCTTTGTATACAGTAGCTCTTTTCATGAGATTGGATGAGAGAGCGTCAATTGTTGTAAAGAAAGATTTTATTTTGAACCTTTCACTTGCAGGCGTGTTGTCTAATGCGTTGGGAGAAGGGCCATCACCCGCACGTGTATTTTTTTTCTTTTTCTTCTGGGGGTTTTGTAGTCAACACCTGGCAATGTTTGTTTGCTGTGCATTTTGCTAAATTTCGTCAAAGTTATCCTTAGCTGTTGAGAGAAAGTCTTGCAGAGAAGTATAAAGATTTGCACAAGTATTCAACGTCACTTCAGGATTCTGCAATGTCTTTCTGACTTTGTTGAAACGTTAAAGCAGAATTGTCCAAAGATGTAGCATGAAGACAAATTCCCATTTTTTTCTTTCATCTTTAGATGCAAAATTCTGGCCTTTCGTCTGGTACCACCCTTCTCATTGGTATCATCTTGAATGCTTGGTAAAGCCTATTATCTATTATCTATTAGTTGAGGGTAACTATCCTTAACTGAAGAAGTAGCTTTTGCGTGAGCCTCCCACCTTGTATCAGATAAATGTTGGACGACTCTTGACTTTGGTAAAAAAAGAAGCGTTTTAGAGTGGCCCACCGTTTTGTTGAAGCAGAGAAAAAACAGTATAATTCGTTTACGATCCCAAAGAAATTAACTGCCTCCAAGCGTGAATTAACAACGGCACGCCATATAAGGTAAAGAGAATAGCCGGCCCGTGGAACGAATTTTGCAAATTTGTTTTCCTCAAATATTCTTTGTTTGACTCCATTATACTCGCCAGCCATGTTGGCTGCCTTGTTGAATCACTGATCTCTACATTTACTGAAATCTATTCCAATTTCATTAAAATAATTAAGAATCAGCTCTGCCATGCCATTTCCCGTGTCGTCTTGAAGTTTAAAAAAATGTAAAAACCCCTCAGTAGGAATCCCATCCTCGGGAGATACAAATCTAACGATGAGAGTTATTGGTCAACATTTGAAACATAGGGTGTCGAGTCCACTGATATACTGAAGTACCCAGCTTGTTTGATGTAATTGATAATCGAACTTCTAACTTTTTCGGCCATCAGTTGTATTATTTCCTCCCAAATTGTTTTTCACAAATAAGATGTTTGACTAGACCCTCTGTTGCCATGCTGCTTGATGTGCTCATGTAGAAACGGGTCGAACTTGGCAATAAACTCTAGCTTAACAATCCCATGAAGTTTCCATTGTTTGGTGAAATAAAAGTTTCTTCATCTCCTCTGAATGCCAAACCCCGCTCTAACCCCGCTCTGACTGACACTTACCCTTCATTTCATCAAATGCATCACTTTATCTTTTTTCTAGTCGAGATAAGATCTATCGGTGCTGAAACCATGTTATCCCAGCCTACCTTACCCGTAGAATCTTGATTCTAGATCTAGGTTACATTATCTTTGGTTACAATACAATAAGATGCTATAGTCTAGTACATCGATGAAGGAGGATAGTCCTGGACTAGATTTACGTAGAATGGCATTGCTCCAGTCCAACACAGCATTTGGCAAGCAAAGCTTGTGTACATCGGATGTTACCAGATACTCTTTTAGGGGCCAAAATAATTATTTTCAGTTTTAATTAAAGGAATTGAGTCTTTAGCGACGTTTCGTTTATTGCATGTTGTTTCTTCTTATCACAATTTTTACACCTGTTTCTTGCTACCGTCCCCAACTCGAGGCCCATTTGGTCATAGTTTCCCGTTGACCCGAGGTCCCCCCCCCCCTCCTGGCTCCGAGGCCCTGTGCTTAAGCACGCCTATCACATGCCTAAATCCGGGCCTGCCACTACGACATTAAAGAGTTAATGGCTAACATTCTCTAAAGATTCACAGGGCAAAAAGGATCAGATAGGATCATCTACCCTCCCCTTCGACTTCGCTTCGAGCAAGTTGTCTTCCTCGTTGCCATTTTCTCCTCCTCCCTCATCCCCTGTCCCCCCATCTTTACTTCGGCTTTGGTCTAACATATTCAACATCTTCAACTCCTGCAACTCCTTCGCCTGCCTCTCCTCATCCTCCAATCTCTCCATCTCCTGAGCATTGGCCACGAACACAGAACGTCTCTGCAGGGCCCCTTCAACCCATTGATGGTCCATACTACAGTTGTTGCGCCGTTTTTCCTTGTTCACATATCCCCGTTTGTGGCATCTGAAAGGAAACGTGAAATTTTTTTTTTCAAAGCGCACAGATGCATTGCTGGCGCTTGTCTTTCGTAACGCGGTTGCTGCAACTGAAAGGAGACGTTTTTTCCCCCTGAGTACACAGAAGCAATGAATCAGCACTACATGTATAAAGTTCGTTTTGATAGGCTATTTGTGTGCCATTATACATTTACAATAGTTAACCCAGTTCAAATACCTGGGCTATATGAAAGCATCAGAAGTCCAAAGATGGCCTAAAATAGTCGCAAAAAGATGACCCTCATTGCGCCAAATAGAAACGCTATAATGGCTATATTACTCCGAAAGTAATTTATAGTAGGCGCACATTTTGTCAGTTCTTTTTATACTAGAAGCAACAGAAATGTTGTTCATATCGAAACTGCTGAAAATGTAGTGACAAACCAAGAAGTGCTAAAAATGGAAAACATGAAAAGATCACTACTCATAAAGACAATAAAGGTAAGATAGATACAATTCACGAGATATAATAAAGAAAAAGAGAATTAGAACAGCTAATCATAACAGAGGAAAACATCGAAGGGAAGAAAGCCATAGGGCACCGACGCACAAGGTTTTAAAATGTGATGAAGACCTGGGCAGCCAACACAAAGAATAGCAACTCATCCATGAGGGCATCGAATGTCATAGAGGAATGGAGAATTCAATGTAAATACCAATGTCTGGGCAGGACAAACCTGATGCTGATTATGTATCAGTATATTATGACCATATCATGCAAAAGTTTTTTCGTAAGAGTCTTAGGGCACTTGCAACACAATTAGGTCATATAAGTACCGAAGGTAAGAGGTGTTACAAGATGGTAACATACAAATAAAAGAAGGCTGGGTGGGGGGTCTCTGAACTTTATAGAAAGAG